CTGTGAGCTTCCCCACTGAGGTGCTTCCTATTGCTCTGGGCCAGGCAAATTCTGAGACTGTGAGGACCTGGGGAAACTATTTTCCCCCAACAAAATGGCCGTCTGGCTAAACAAGATGGCCTCCCACCATGTGTAGGGGCTCTGGGACAGCTTCGCTATCTCCTTCGCTCAATAAGCTCTTACCAGGCCCCGAGCGATCTAATCGTAGCGAAACAACTGAGAAGTGATAGAATAAAGCTCTGGAGTCAGCTGTCAAGCGGCTTGGGCAACAGCGAGCCCTGTGATCTATGGAGCTGTGTGAGAGGCTTCAATGAAGGCTTCCTGGGTCCGAAGCCCTTTTTGAGGCAGCGCCGAAGCCTTGACACTGCAGGAGAACGGATCCCCACTCTCCTGAGACAGAGCTCTACCAGAGCCCTGGGAGCTGGATTTTTCAATTATTTGCTGTCTCCTGATTTCAAACTCTCTTTTAGCTATTTAAAAGCAATCCTTCCAGAGACTAGCTCTCAGATAAGAAGCTAAGCCAAAAATGGGGGGGGGGGGGGGGAGCCAGAGGCTGGCTTTTTATAGTGGCAGACTCAGCTCTATGATGTCAGAAGGAAGACCTTAACCCATCCCTGAAATCTCGTGGCAGTGTCAATGAGAATACATCTTGACCAAAATGGATTTCTCCCAATGTGATAAATTAGGAATAACATAAGAACAGTAATTAATATATTAGAATATTATGAACCTCATCCAGGAAGTCAAGTGGTTCTTGTCTTACTGGATACACAAAAAGCATTTGATAATGTAAATTGGAAGTTTATGATTCAACAGATTACGTTTATGAAATTTGGAGAAAGATTTGAAAATATGATAGAAATGTCTTACTCCACTCAAAAGGCAAGCATATTAATAAATGGGGAAATGACAAAATCATTTGAAATAATGAAATGAGTTAGACTGTTCTTTGTCACCTCTGCTTTTCATCCTGACATAAGAAATATTATTAAGAAGAATTAGATTAATTAAGGAAATAAAAGGAACCCAAATTAAAAAAGAAAACAAGTTACAGACTTTTGCTGATGACATGGCATTTATTATTGAAGACCCATTGGAATCTGGCCTGATACTGTTGTAGGAAATAGAAAAATTTGGCAAGGCAACAGGTCTTAAAATTAATAAAGACAAAACCAAAATGCCAGTTAAGAATTTGTCCGCAAAAGATAAAAGGGAATTGAGAGAAATAATGGGCCTCCAAATTATAAAAAGGATAACTATATAAAACTTATACAGCAAATAGGGAATGATTTGGACAAATGGGAGTAAATTACAGTTTTCACTTTTAGGGCAAATATAAAATGAATATCCTACCCAAATTGTTATATTTGTTCCAAACTATACCAATAACATTAGATTAAAATTTTTATATAGATCTAAATAAAATAATTATGCAATTTATATGGTCAGGGAAAAAAGCAAGAATAAAATCAATTTACTTATGGGATAGCAAAAGGAGAGGTTTCTTTGGACTCCCAATATGGGAGACTTACCTCAAAGAAGCATCTCTAGTATGGATTAAGGACTGGATTAAATTAGAAAATAGGATAATTTTGACATTAGAAGGATAGGCATGCCTTCATATGGAACCCCAGGAATAAGAACCACTCCTATTTTTACAGGCACGTTTTATGAGATTCATTGATAAACACCTGGGAAGAAATTAGGAAGAAATATTATACCAAAATTCCAGGTTGGCTGTCCACTATGGAGGCAATGATCCACCCAAATACTTTGGATATCAGCAAAAAAGTAAAATACTATCAAATTTTGGATAATCAATGAAGACTTAAAACAAGTCAAGAATTAGAAACACAGGGAATATTTATAGATTGGTGGACATACCTTCAAGTGCAGACGAGATGTAAAAAAGACTTAGAAGAATTTGGATTTGAAATAAAAGCAATCCAGCTAGATAAACAATTGCTAGGACCAGAAGAAAAAATAATATCTAAAATATACAATTATTTATTAAACTTCAACTTAGAAGAGGAAATTGTTAAAGGATCCAAGTTACCCTGGGCTAAAAATTTTGGACATAACATTGAATTAGAAGACTGGGGAAAAGTGTGGCATAAAAAATTTTCTTTGACAAGTTGGTTGCATATAAAGAAAATGTATATAAAATGCTTTTTATCATTGGCATTTAGCACCATCCAGGCTTGCAAAAATGTATCCTAAGCTGAACCTGAACTGTTGGAAATGTAAGAGAACACAAGATACCTTCTTCCATGTCTGTTGGCTATGCCCAGAAATTAAAAAATATTGGATTAAAATACAAACATGGTTAGAGGAAATTACCCATTGTAGGTTGGAAGGGAAGCCAGAATTATTTCTCCTGGGAATTATTAAAGATAAATACTCCAAAAAGATCCAATACTTGATTATACATATAATAACGGCAGCAAGAATTGTGCTAGCTCAGGCTTGGAAGATGTCCACCATTCTGTCAGATGAAGTTATAATTTGTATAATCTTGGAATGGGCAGAGATGGAAATTAAATGACAAACTCAGAATATTATTCAATCTGGTATCAATGGGTAAAACATGATAAATATAGGTCAAAAGAGGAAATAAAATTGGCATATTGATATACATGTAGGCTCAATGAGAAGCCGTTGAAATTGAGAAATTGCCAGATTTATATAAATATTCATATTTAATTTATAATATTTATGTAGTTATACTTATATTGTATAGCTAAAAATGTATACCTTATCTCCTCTTATGGCTATGGAATATATAGCACAGTACATAGACTATAATTATATAGATTTATCTCTGATCTTTGATAGATAGACAGAGATAAGAAAACAAATATAGATATGTATATATATATATATTTACATATATATATGTACTTAGTATTAATATATTCTTTTTCTTCTTTGAACCATCGACCTATATATATGAATTACTTTTTTATTAATATTAAGGCACTGTGAATTAGTATTACTAATACTATAAACAACTGTCAAGTATTAATTGTATGTAATGTACTTATTGAACTGTCAAGAAAATGATGTTGAAAGGTATTGACACATCTTTATAGAAATTTTTGTAAACTTTTTAATATTTTGAATTTTTGTGAACTTTTTTATATTTTGAATTTCAATAAAGAATTTTTTAACATGAAAGAAAAGACTAAAAGACTCTTTTCAATCCCCAGAAGACAATTAGAAAGATTATGGGGGGGATGGTGGAAATTCATTGTAATGTGAAATTCATTGTAATGTTTTCTTTCTTGTATCATTTATATTGTAATCAGTCTGATGTATTCATGTAAGGATTGTATTTGAGTGGCTGGCCCAGCAAATTCTGAACATCTTCGACTTATGTTTGGTGGGAGGCAAAATTGTCCACCATGTTTGTATTGTCTGTATTGTAAAAGTAGCTACATACACAAGCACACAGAGACACACACCATTCAGAATTAGATAAAGGTTATTCCCTTCATCTACTTCCACACAAAGCTGCTTCTGGCTTTTTTTTAATGTGTTTTTGTTGTGATTTTTTTTGCTGCTCTGTGGCACTAATGCCCAGTCATATCTCTCTGTGAATCCAATGGTGGAGGGGGCATCCCCTTCAGGCAATTCCCTCACTTGAAGAGATAGCAGAAAAGAGATCTCCAAACCCCAAGCCCTGACTGTGATTCACAAAATCACAGTCTGCCCAGTTGTCCAGAAAAGCAGGATATGTTGCACTGGTGGTCTCATGAGTAGGTGTCCCAGGGCTCATTGTGTGTAATTTTAAAAATACTAAATAGCCTGGATTGCACACTGGCTAACCTCAATTTGGCTTCACAAACCCTGGAAGCAAAGAGCTAGGCAGGTTTAGTAACCATCCCTTGGAAATGGGCAGCTTGTAATTTAAAGGAAAACCATGGCTGTGAAGAATTTTGGGACTTGTGCTTGCTTGAAACTTGACTGTATCAAGTCATCAAGTCTCCCTGATCTGATTGATTTTAATGTTTTGCCAATAACATGTGTGTTCCACCCACATATTTTGGTAAAAAGGGGAGATTGTTGGAAATTAAAACCTACCCCTCTCCCAGGAAAATGAAATATCCTAGGAAATATTAAAAAGGCAGAATATCCCCCCCCCAAAAAATGTAGAAACTCAGAAGCAGAACCTCCCCTCAGAAGCAGAAGCTCACTCACACCTTTGTTAATGGGTGAGCCATTAAGGCCTGGGCCAGAGTATTCTACATAATAAAGGCCTCTGCTCATCTCACCACCTGGCCTGCATCAGCCAGCACTCAGGTGAAGCCATGTGGTCCAGACAAAGCCTAAAGTTAGCAAAGACCCCCACCCCTGGGAGTCAATGGGATACAGGAAACACTAAGGTGGGGCCCAACAGAGGGTGTATAAGGGACTCTCAGCATCTCAGGTCTTCTTTTCCTTCACCCAACATCTTGAAGCACGTGATCATCTTTTTTCACTTTCAGTTCTGGGGCTTAAAATCTGGGTGAAACCAAAGTAGAAGATTGAGACTCCACATGTGGGTCCATAATCAACATACTGTTGGAAGGATTATCCTTCTGGGTTCAGTTCCAAGGGGGAAAAAGACACTGGAAACATAGAGGCTGTTTGCAAAGATGGTTTGAGGGTGAACAGGACCACATGCTTCAAGATGTTGGGTGAAGGAAAAGAAGGGTTGAGATGCTAAGGGACCTTTCCTTATATACCCTGTTGGGCCCCACCTTAGTGTTTCCTGTTCCTGTGTAAGAAATGTATCCCATTGGCTATCAGACTCCCAGAGATGGGGTCGTAGCTAACTTTATAGGCTTTGTCTAGATCACATGGCTTCACCTGAGTGCTGCTGATGCAATCCTCCCCGGCCAGGTGATGAGATGAGCAGAGGCCTTTATTATTTAGAATACTCAGGCCTAGGCCTTAATGGCCCGCCCATTAACAAAGGTGGGGGTGAGCTTCTGCTTCTGAGGTGAGTTTCTGCTTCTGAGTTTCTACTTCTCCTTTTAGGGGAAATATTCTGCCTTTTTAATAATTCCTAGGATATTTCATTTTCCTAGGAAGAGGGGTGGGTGCTAACTTCCTGCAGTACAAAAGCACCATCCAAGATCCCTTTTTGAGGAATTCCACTTCTTCTGCAAATCTACAAGATTCTGCTGATAACCAGAAAATGGCTGTTAGCCATTTTCCAATTTCCTTTTCTCTGCACCTATAATTTTAATCCTGAGAAAAGTTTGAATACAAAGAATCCAGCCAGAATTCAGTGAATTTCTCACCTACACTGTGAATGGGAGATCACAAATGAAATTCAATCCTTCTCTAAACTCTTCAACCTTTGCCTCATGTGGATTTCCTTGTGTGCACAAAGGGATGATTTATGCTTGAAGTAAAGTCCACAGACTGGAAATTTGAAAGATTTTCCCACAGTGTGAGTCTGGTGTATTAAAAAATAGGAATTCTGACTGAAACTTTTCCCACAATCAGGACATTTAAAAGGGTTTATCTCCTGTGTGAGTTCTCTGGTGTCTCATGAGGTGGGAATTCTGACTAAAACGTTTTCCACAGTCTGGACATTCAAACGGTTTCTCTCCTGTGTGAATCCTCTGGTGTGTTACCAGCCAAGAATTGTGACTGAAACTTTTCCCACAATCAGGACATTCAAAGGGTTTCTCTCCTGTATGAGTCCTCTGGTGTATTACCAGATAGGAATTCTCACTGAAATTTTCCCCACAGATAGGACATTTGTAGGGTTTCTCTCCTGTGTGAGTCCTCTGGTGTCTCATGAGACTGGAATTTGTAATGAAACATTTCCCACAATCAGGACATTCAAAGGGTTTCTCTCCTGTGTGAGTCCACTGGTGTATTACCAGGTGGGAATTGCGTCTAAAACTTTTCCCACAAATAGGACATTCAAATGGTTTCTCTCCTGTGTGAGTCCTCTGGTGTATTACCAGTTCGGAATTGTGAGTGAAACTTTTTCCACAATCAGGACATTTAAAGGGTTTCTCTCCTGTGTGCGTCCTCTGGTGTATCACCAGGCTGGAATTGTCACTGAAACTTTTCCCACAGTCAGGACAGTCGTAAGGTTTCTCTCCTGTGTGAGTCCTTTTGTGTCTCATGAGGCTGTAATTTGTAATGCAACATTTCCCACAATCAGGACATTCAAATGGTTTCTCTCCTGTGTGGGTCCTCTGGTGTATTACCAGTGCGGAATTGCGACTAAAACTTTCCCCACAAATAGGGCATTCAAAGGGTTTCTCTCCTGTGTGAGTCCTCTGGTGTATCATCAGGTGGGAATTGCGACTAAAATTTTTCCCACAAATAGGACATTGAAAGGGCTTCTCTCCTGTGTGAGTCCTCTGGTGTATTACCAGGTGGGAATGTTCACTAAAACTTTTCCCACAGATAGGACATTCAAAGGGTTTTTCTCCTGTGTGAGTCCTCTGGTGTATGACCAGGTGGAAATTGCGATTAAAACTTTTCCCACAAATAGGGCATTCAAAGGGTTTTTCTCCTGTGTGAGTCCTCTGGTGTTTCACCAGGTCAGAATTCTGACTGAAGCTTTTCTCACAGTCAGGACATCCATAGGGTTTCTCTCCTGTGTGAGTCCTCTGGTGTATCACCAGGTGGGAATTCTGTCTGAATCTTTTGCCACAGTAAGGACATTCGAAGGGTTTCTCTCCTGTGTGAGTCCTCTGGTGCTTCACCAGGCTCGAATTATTACTGAAACCTTTGCCACAAATAGGACATTCAAAGGGTTTCTCTCCTGTGTGAGTCCTCTGGTGTATCACCAGGCTGGAATTCTGTCTAAAACTTTTTCCACAGTCGGGACATTCAAAGAGTTTCTCTCCTGTGTGAGGCCTCTGGCGTATCATCATGTTGGAATTCTGATTGAAACTTTCCTCATAGATAGGACATTCAAAGGGTTTTTCTCCTGTGTGCATGCTCATGTGTCTCAAGAGGTGGGAATCTGTAATGCAACCTTTCCCATAATTTCAACACTCATAGTGTTTCTCCTGCAGTGAATCCTCTGATGTATTACCAAGCTGGAATTATGACTGGAACTTCTAGTCTGGACATTGAAAGGGTTTTCTCCTTTTGATTCCTCTCATGTATCACCAAGTTGGGATTACAACTGAAAGTTTTGCAACAATCAGGACATTCAAAGCATTTCTCTCCTGGTATATCACCAGACTGGAATTTTGACTTTCCCATAATCAGGACATTCAAAGTGTTTCTCTTCTGTGTGAGTTCTCTGTTGTCTCATAATTTCTAATGAAGCTTTTCCCACTATCTAGTCAGTTGTCCCTGGAGTCAATCCACTCATGCATTACTAGAGTGGAATGTGACAATGCCTTGTTTAGTGGTGCTTTCATTCAAGCCATTTTCTTCCTCACAGGGAGAGGCCTATATTACTGTCTGCTCCACATAGCTTTACTATTCACCTTTTCCTCCAACTGACTTCCAGATATGCTGAATGAAAAATAATTTCCCTTGACTTTTCATGTAATGTATCCTTGAGTTGTGTATAATCTGCTTATTCTGGCTTGAAATCTTTTTTAATTTTCTGTCTTTTTTCTAACAACTTCTGGAAGAGGAGGAGAATTGTGTGGTTTTCTGAAGGAAATGGAAATTATTTTGATTTCTGGCTTGATTCATTTTTCTTTTCAATGTTGCTTGTTATTTGCAGTTGTCCTGAGTGCTCTTATTGCCATATTCTTTGTCTGTAAGATTCAAAGAAAAGTGTAACATTAATTGTTTATGAAATGGTTAGAGATGATGTGAAAAAACAAACAAGTAAATATTACAATGAAAAAGCAAACATGCCCCAATACTAGAGTAATCACTTACCTTATTTTTGATTCATTCGACACATGGAAGATGATTGAGATACATGTTCAAATATGCATTCAATCAAATTCAGTTGTTTAATTGGGTCCATCACAAATTCTTAGCAACACAAAGGACTATCATCAATTATAACTTGAAGTACCAGGGATAGATTATATAATTGCAGACATATTCCTACAGAGTGAAACAACAGATATACCCCACCTACATAGGTATTCATGTGAAAATCTATGTATTTCAAGTCTGATAAAATGTCCCAGAATGTTTATGTTCAAACCTTCTGAGCTAAATTTAGACATGTTTTTTGTCCATGGAAGTCCTCAGCTGCAAATAAGAGCAGAAAACAGTGTCCACAAGTACTCTGGTGACATCTCCACTCAAGTAATCCTCACTTAACCCACCACAATTGGAACTGATATTTGCGTCATTAAACAGTTCAATCATTAAGCATGATGTCACATGACAGTGCTAACTTGTATCTGTTCCTCTGTAGTTGTTAAGCAAATGGGCATTGGTATAATTACCTGAGAACACCCTTTCTATCTATGCTGCAAGAGAGTCCAGGATAGGTTAGACTCCTCCCTGTGATGTCATAGAGCTGAGTCTGCCACTATATAAAAAGCCTGGCTGGTTCCCCAGCTTTAGGCGAAGATACTTGACAGACTTGGCGTATCTATGGAAGCAAAAAAAAAAACAATTAGAAAATCAACCCTGTCTCTACCAGAACCGGACCCAGCAAGGGTGGGGCTAGACTGTTTTGCAGGGTAGACAGAAAGGGAGTTCTAAGATAATTATATCAACGCCAATTCTCATCCCTGCTGTGCCAAGAGTCCAGGATGGGACATACCAAAGCCTGCATGTCTACAGGAGGGCCATAGTCCAGTCTACTTACTCCGTTTGCTGAACAATCCTCTATAGCATCCATCTACCAGATGGTGTGTTCACCGAAGCAAATGAGTCCAGACGATAGTGCCCTATGAAGGGTGACGGAGACGCCCAGGTAGCCAATCTACATATCTCTTCGAGAGATGCCTGAGTGGACCAAGCGGACGATGTAGCTGTGCTTCTGGTGGAGCGCGCTGTAAGGTTCTTGGGCACCAGAACAGACAAAGCCTGGTAGGCCTTGGCAATGCATGACCTGATCCATCTACTAAAGGTAGGAGAAGAGGCCTTGCACCCCATGGAGTTTGGAGAAAATGACACAAACATAGCCTCAGTTTTCCGAAATGCAGCAGTATGTTTGATGTAGATGCGTAAAGCTCTTTTTACATCCAACTTATGCCACTTGTACTCCAGCTTGTGGTTAGGGTGTGGACAGAAATCTGGCAACACAGTGTCCTGGGCTCTATGGAACCAGGTATTAATTTGGGGGACAAAGGTAGGATCTAAACATAGGACCACCCTGTTTCCATGAAAGGTACAGAGGTCCTGTCTTACTGAGAGTGCCGCCAGCTCTGAACTCTCCTGGCTGATGAGATGGCCACTAGAAAAACCACATTAAAGGTCAAAAATTGGAGTGACACTGATCTGAGGGGTTCAAATGGTGACCACTTAAGGGCCTGCAACACCTTGGGGAGCTCCCACGTGGGGTACCTATGAACCACCAGTGGATGGAGATTAAAGGCCCCTTTTAGGAATCTACGAACTGAAGGATGATGGGACAGAGAAGAAAAATTTCGCAGTGCAGAACTGATGATAGGGCTGCCACTTAGTGACAGAGGGTATTGGGCGAGAGCCCTTTATCCAATCCATCCTGAAAGAAAAGTAACATGTCAGCTACAGATGCTGAGGTGGGAACACGGTTTTCCTTCAAACACCAATTGCAGAAAACCTTCCAGATGGCATCGTAAATGTGGATCGTAGAAGGTTTACAGGAAGCCTGAATGGTGTAGATAACCCTATTGGGAAGGCTAAGAGTCTCTCAGATGTTGCCACTCAAGAGCCACATGGTCAAGTAGAATCACTGAGGGTCCGGGTGCATCAAGGCTCCCTGATGTAGAGAGATGCTGTTGGCTGGGATCCTCCACAGCTAAGCTACAGACAAGTTCACCAAATCAGCAAACCAGGGTCTCCCAGGCCAATGAGGTGCTAGGAGAAACAGCTCCAACTTTTCCTCCAACATCTTCTAAATGACCGCTGGAATGATTGGAAGAGGGGGAAAGGCATAGGGGAGACCTGAGTGCCATCTGCTCTGAAGAGCATTGGTCCCCTTCGCTTGCTGAGAAGGAAATCTGGTGAAATATCTGCTCACCTGAGCATTTAGGGGAGTGGCGAAAAGGTCTACTGAGGGAGCTCCAAACCTGAAAGAAAACTCCTTAAACAGGGAAGGGTAGAGACTCCACTCTGAATGGTCGACAGTGCTCCGACTCAGCCAGTCAGCCTGGGAGTTGTCAACCCCGGAAATGTGGTCTGCCCTGATGGATAAAAGGTGCCTCTCCGTCCACCACCCTAGGTGTTCAGCCTCCTTCATCAGGGCTCTGGATCTCGTCCCTCCCTGTCGGTTGACATGTGCCTTTGTGGCCATATTGTTCATTATCACCAACACATGGGCCCCTGCCACCCTGGCCTGGAAATGCTTGAGTGCCAGGAAGATGGCCCTGAGTTCCATCCAGTTTATAGGGCAAGACCTGTCTACCTGAGACCAACACCCTTGGGCTATCTCGCAGCAAGAAGGGCCCCCCAGCCCTGAAGACTGGCATCCATGATGAGCAGGATTCTGTCTGGCTCCTTGAATGGATGTCCCCTCCAGAGTGCAGGGGATTGACACCAGTGGAATGAGTGAAGAATCTGTGGAGGAACATGCACCCTGGAGGAAGTATGGCTGGGTCCCACTGTTTAATATGATAGCAGGAACCATTGAAGAGTCTGAGAATGGAGCCGTGCCCACGGGACAATGCCGATGCAGGAGCTCATTTTCCCCAGCAGTCTGGAAAGATAAGACTGTGCATTGCACTCGAATCTGAAGGATCATCTCATTCAGGGTTTCCCTGCGATCCAGGGAAAGGAAGACCTTGTAAAGGGATGTATCGATTATCACGCCCAAATGGAGTAGTCTGGTCATGTGGGAGAGGTGGTTTTTCTTGAAGTTGATAGAAAAAACGTGGTCCTATAGAAACTGCAACGTCGTATGGAAGTCTCGTTGAGCGGAGTGGAGCGACGTCGACTGGATCAAGATGTTGTCCAGGTAACATTGGAGTCACACTGGAAACGCTTGAAACAAAGCCACCAATGCTGCCAACACTTTGGTGAAAACTCTGGGGGGCGACAAAAGCCCGAAGGAAGGGTTCAGTACTGGAAATGCTCATTCTGGTAACAAAAACGAAGAAACTGGCAGTGATGGCGCCAGATGGGGATATGGAGGTAAGCCTCCATGAAGTCTATAGAAGAGAGGAGGTCACCCTCCTGAATGCTCTCTAGGATCAAATGCAAGGTCTGCATCTTAAAATGCCTATATGGGATGAACCTGTTCAAAAACTTGAGGTCGAGAATGGTTCGCCAACCCCCGATGCCTTTGGGACCACAAAGACTAGAAGAAAACCCAAGCCCTCATTGATCAGTTGGAACCAGTTGAATGACCCTAATTTCTACAAGGTGTCGAATGGCTGATTCCATGAAGGCCCGTTTGACACTATCCCAAAAATGGGACAGTTCACATAAAAACATGGGGGTGGCAAGAGGAACTCCAGCTGCAGACCCAACCTCACCATCCTGAGCATCCAGGCATCTGACACTGACTCCTGCCATCTGGAGACAAAGAAGGCCAAATGACCTCCAATGGGTGGGGAGAACAGCCATTCACTTTTAGTGTCAGAAGGAACGGCCTCCTCCTCCTCGAAAGGCCTGTTTACCCGTATTTTGATGTTGTCGTCTGCTTGCAGCCTCTGGTTGTTGCTGCTGGCATTGAGGGAACACCCTCTGGTTACAGGAGAAGCAAGAAGTAGACTCAGCCTGAAAAGAGGGGGGACGGAAATACAGAGTTGAGTGATAATCCGTCCTCTTCCTGAAATGTTGAAGAGAGGAACTTTCATTTGTCCCTGGTTTTGACCAGGTATGGGTCTAGGGCTTCTATGAAGAGCTTCTCTCCAGCTCAAGAAGCCGATGCCAATGTCCACTTTTGGCAGGAGTCAGACTGCCAATTTCGTAGCCACAGGAGCCGTCTCGCTGTCACCGAGGAGGCCATGGCCCTGGAGGCGAACTTGGCTGGATTTAGAGTGGCATCCACTGTAAATTCAGCAGCTGCAATAATCTTGTTCAGATCTTGGTGTGATCTGAAGTCAATGGGTAGTAAACGGTCCTGTAGTTGATGCAGCCATCAGAATAAAGCCCTTGTAAAAAAAACGGCGCTGCTGTTGAGGCCCGAACAGCCCAAGCCGAGGCCTGGTGGTTGTGCTTGAGTGTTTGTTTAGATCTTTTGTCTTCGGCCTTGAGCATGTCCTCTGGCTCAGTGGGGGTGCCAGGGGAGGAGAACAAGGCCACGACTGGAGCATCAACTAAAGGCAGTACAAGGGCATCGGCTAAAGAAGGGCCCATCTTATAGAAACACCTGCCGTAAGACAAAGGCCCTGCAGCAGGAGAGGCACACTGCTCCTTAACTATGTCCAGGAACAACAGAGGAGAAGGGAGGACCTCTGTATGGACCACTGGCTTGGAGAAGAGGGAGTCCCCTTGGCAAGACGAATCCCCCTGGGGTTCTGGGGCCACTTCCTCAGGAGACAATTGGGCAGTGACCAATGCCTTTTGTACGAATGGTTTAAATAAAGCATGCTTGAAAACCACCATTGAGGAGGGTTGATCATGATGAAACCCCTCTTTCTCTGACATATTGGGGTCCCTGATCTCTTCTTCTTCCTCCGCTCCAAAGGATTGGTGTAAT